CCTGTTACTTTAACTTATGTACCTGATTTAAATCAAATACAAAGGCTGCAGTCACAGGTGCTGAGTAAAATAGGATGCAGCACTTCAACACTATTTGGATAGCAGCAGTACTAGATCTTTATGTTATATTCATTAAACTATCAAAGCTAAATTTTGCACTCCCCTGCATAGGTGTGATAAAGTGGGGAGAAAAGAGTCCAAAGTAAGGTGCCTAAGAGCATGGAAGTGGCTGACTAGGTGCTCATGTGGGTAGGCAGAGGTCAAGGTCATGCTTTATGTCATCCAAGTATAGTGAGAGATATCTTTCTTAGCATTCATTATGACCGCTATAGGTATTGGGTTTTTATACATTCTTACTTGTATGCCAACTTCTTTCTTTTTGCCAGGGTGGCCCAGGCTCCTAAGAGCCATAACTAAAACTTTAATTAAAGCTTTAAATTAAAAGGCTAACAGAAATGTTACAGTTCTCAAGCTACAGAAAATTATTAGTCTGTGCTGTGGTAGGTGTTTTGTGCTTATATTTATGCAGTTTGGGCTCCATTAATAGCAATGAGTTATTTATTTAAAACACTGACCAAATTAATTCTTGCTGTGATTCAATGACAGCCATCAGGGATGAGTTTTGGCACGTACACATTCCCTGTGTGAATGCTAAATGACTCCGTGAATTGTTAATGGAATTGGTAGCCAATCACTTCTAGATCACTTGTCTGTGCCACTCGCTAGCTTTCACCTAGTCCAGGTTTATCGGTCATTTACCAAGTCTGTGTGAAATGAGTTGATAGTCTCAATTCAGCTGGCACTGGAGAGGTGTCCACATAACTAGAATTACCTGTTGGCAATCTCAGTGAATGAGGATGGAATTAGCACAGATGCTAATCTGCTCTCTGTCTTAGAGGTGATCACTTCAAGTTATGTAGGGGACATGGCAGGACAGGACAACACTTCCTGTGCTATATTTGCACTGTGTGATTAAACAGGGGATTTACAGACCATCTGTCCCTCACCTTTCATGAGCACAGTCACTAGGAATTAAAACAAAACAAAAACCATTATTGTCTGAGGTTAGTATAAGCTCAAAATTGCAGGCCAAATCAATTGGGGGATGAATTTAGTGCTGTATTATTAATCATTTAGGTGCAAATGAAGATCCTTGTTTACAATTAAGATACCTGGGCAGTGCACTTTAAATTCCTCCTGGGATGGAGATGTGTGACTGAGGAGGGAAGGGATATTTCAGATGCCCTCATTTTCAGAGCCGCTCCACCTTTTTGTATTAGAGTATGTTTGAACTCAAATGATTTTTGTATCCTCATTATATGGGGCGTAATGGAGAGCTGCGCCTCACCCCACCAGAGAAAATATTAATTCTAATTGATTTACTGATGCTATGTGGTTTGAAAATGTTAATAGTCCTAGAAGCTTTGCACTTAAATGTGATTGGTATAAAGCATTGCTTTAAAATGTTTTCACATACAGGATAAAAAAATATGTTGTAGTATTGTGAAATGTTTTAAAATGAGTCTCCCTGCACTGAGGTATGCGGGGAGGGTTAAATTGATTAGAATGGAATAGCATTTTGACTAAAGGGAGAGAAAATGAGAGATTGGTTAATCCTCTGTTAAAGCTCAGGTCAATCAAAATAGCTCTTTAGTGTTTAAAATGTTCCTGAAATGTGCAGAAAAACCCACTCAACAGCTCTTATCTTCCTTTGTATTAAAATAAAACTCCCCCATCAACGCAGTCCTACCACTGCAGTTTGAATCATGGTACCTGTCTAATTCCCCAGAGCAACATTAGGGTAGGGAAATGGACAGACATTATAAAAAAAAGAACAGTAGGTAGGACATTTTTTCATTTTTTTTAATTTTAGGAGAAATAAAAAATCAACTCCTGTATACTTTTGAGTCTTAAAATGTCAAGACCCGGAGCCTCAATTGTATGAATTGGCACAATACCGTTGTAATCACTAGACCTGTATTAGCTAAGAATCTGGCTCTATCACTTTGTACAAAGACATGAACAAACACACAGGCTTATATAAAGGAGTATTTTATATATAGTGTGAACACCATGTATGACAATGTTCTATACATTGCATAGACAGTCTATAATTACAACACTAGATCAGATTAACTAGCTAGGAACTGTAGATAGCTATTCAACTGAATAAAATGTCAATACATTTGTTAAAAAAAACCACCTAAAACCCCCCCCACATTTAATGAATCCAACTTTAGCAGAAAATATCTTTGGTTGACATGATCCAGACGGAGAGAGATCTGAGGTATATTTCTTTCTTTTCATTATCAGAATCATAAGGATGCCTTCTCTCTGATTTCTTTGTAGTGCAGCTGCAGCAAATGTTTTGCCTCCATTTCTTTGTTTGGTGTTCACACATCTGAGAGGCCCTCCTCATTTCTTGAAGTCAATTGAAGGAATTTTAAAAATATTTATGTATTGATTGTAGCATGTTTGTCAGGTTTTTTTTTCAAGTATGCAACTTGAAAGATTTTCCTTGATGCTTCATGTAAAGCAAACAGGAAAGATATATTTTCCTTGGAAAGAAATCTGTTCATTTTTTATAAATTTGAAATCCATTGATAACTCGCCATTCTAATGGAAATGGAATGAGATCAGAAGGGCTGCTGTATTTGAGTCTTTGTTCCAAGAGAAGAGCTGTTTGAATTATGTACAGTAAGGAACTGAGGTTTTTACTAATGATGCTATGGTCAATATGGGTTCTTTATTTATTTGCCTTTGATTACAGCACTGCAGCAACTAGCCATAGATTTAATCAGTGGCAAAGACTGTTTCAAAGCTTCAGGACAGACCACAGCCTACATAAAGAGAGTAGCTTCTTTTAATCTGGCTTTTATAAGGAGCCATAATATAGTATACGAGCACTGTTGTTGGCTTCTAAGCAAAATATAGGAAAGGGGATGAAAGAGAGGGGGAAAAAAAGATACCAACAGAAGACCTTAAATATGTTGGATGGGATAGTTCAGTGTAAAGGGTTGCAGAACTACAACTTTCAGTTTTGGCAGAATCAGCTCCTGTTCCTTAAAGAGACCAGTTGAGCCACATGCCACTTTTTACTCTATGAGAAGAGTGATTGTTCAAAGAAGATCTCCCTTTTTTAAGATCTTTTGTGAGAATAGCAAAAGTTCTTAAGGTCCTTTGTTTAGGAGTAAAAGCTTGCCCTAAAGCTTCTGGACAAAATTTTTCCTCCTGCTCTGAACAGCATGCCATCTTTTTCTTGACGGGTGCTGTGGCTGCTTTTCAGTAACCGATTCCTTTATATAATTTGGACTGTATTTTGGCATCCTTTAGGATGAAAGGCTAAAATAAAATCCAAACCTGGGAGAAAACTTGCATGTTTCTTTAAAACCCATGGATTTAGGAGGGATCATTTATCTGTCTGCAGGAGCACAGCTAGAGAAGATGGTACTGCAGGTGTTCTCACAGATTGACAGCAGGCACTGTGTTCTGTGGCGTTCCTTCTTCAGTTTGTTGCTTGAGTGCATCAGCAAGAAAGGTAGATGGAAAAGGGTTGACTACCCAGTATTTCTGGGCATGGTTAAGTGAGCCATGCCCTCAGAGTCTGCTTCTGTGCACCAGCAGAGTAAAATATAATTTACTTGTTCCATCTTTTTTTTTTCCATGAAGAGCCTTCCCAGGAGTTAGTACTTCATCGAAGTACTTTTAAAAACATTTTTAAACCATAAAGCCCTTCAGTTTTAGTGGTGGTGAGGTATCAAGTGATGTTGCATGCTATTCTGGGTCTTCGTGTAATGAACATAAGTAATTATCACTGGAAAAAATGATATGAGGAAACTAATTGTGTGAGATGCCATCTGGGATATAGCGAAGTTATACTTCGATAATGCAAAAGGTGATCTGTCAGTGTCCAACCTTGTCCCCTTCACAGCTGAAAGTCTGCAAAAATTCAGAAGCCCATGTCAGTTTTAAATGAACATCACTGTCCCATTTCCAGGCAGTTTATTTCTTGAAGGGCCGACATTGTATTGCACCAGCAAATTACTGTATCTGGTATATGGCCAATACCAGAAGAGCAGTCTGTAATCTTTTAAAATATTAATGGGGGAGAGGAGGAACAGAAAGATCTCCATGGTGACTTGAAGTGAGGAGTAGTACTTGGGTTGTATTCTACATATGTCACAGGATATCTTGTGTCACTTTTCCATGTCATTTGAATGTTGGATTTGTTTGTGGATTGTAATGCAGATTGAAACCTGTACGTTCTGGTTACCAAAATATAGGCCCTTTCATGCAGAGTGGTGTCAGACTTCTACCATTTCAGAATCAAACTTGCAACTGGCATAAAGAAATGAATAAAATATGAAATATACATTTGCTCAAATGGGCTATTGACACTAGTAGAGCTGCATCACCACTGTCAAAAAAGAAAGTCTTCTGCTGCTGCTCAGCATCTGGCTGCAGGCACATACAGACACTCCCATGCCTTCATTTAATTGCTGCCAGTATATTCAGGAGTTAATGCCTTCTGTTAGCACAGTTGCTGTAGTGAAACTATACAGACCACCAGAAACCACTGTGTGCTCTGGCAGCTTGATGGTGACTGCTGTCTTTTGTTAGATCCTCTGGTGGCCAAGTCCAGGTGTGCATAGGCATAGCCTTAGTCTAGCCAAAGATTTCTAGTTAAAACAATACTTCCTTCCTGGGTGTCCACACTGGCACCGTGCCTCATTGTATTCTAGTTTCAAACTCCTTACTTTCATCTTCCAGGCTCTGTAGATCTCTGCTTCTTCTGCATCTCAGCGTTCCTTTTCTTCCATTTTAACAACCGGAGTACAATACAATAAACTGCCTTGTTGAAGTCGTCTTCTATATGTGAAGAGTGGCAGAACTTTGAAGACCTACATCTGCAGGCAGGACACAAAACTGCAAATGAATACCTCAGTGACAGTTCTTCTAACATATAGGCAGCTGCAGGAGGATCGTGTTCTATGTTTTTGGGCAACTGTTTCTGCAGATAAGCAGATCCAGAGACTCTTCTTTCAGCCTGCTTCCGTGGGGCTGATACAGGGCATTTCCTCGCAACCTTTAGCTGTTCAGTGGCAATATGAATCCTGGTCCCACCGAAGGCAGAACCTCTGTTGACTTCGTTGGGGCCAGGATCTTAAGCAAGCCTCCTATGTTGCATGGAGGGCCTAGCGTGGGTCCATGTTGTTACAGAAGAACTTTGTCACAGAGAGAAAAAGATCTGGAAGTTGTTTTACTACTTATGTTTATGATGCTTAAAGGATTTTCAAATGCCTGAAAGCAATCTGAACTTCTTTTTTGTTTAAATAGGACCTGCTTAAGAAATGCTACTCTGCCAATGCCTCGTACCTGTTCCAGCAGGACAAGTTCTATGATGTCAGCTATGATACAGGAGACAAGTCAATCCAGTGCAGCAGGCGGCCAGATGCATTCAAATTCTGGATGACGTGGAAGGCTTTGGGAACTACAGGCCTTGAGGAAAGAGAGAACAGGGCACTAGCCTTAGCGAGGTACTTTTATCTCAAATTTGAGATTGGGGGTTTTTTTGGTTTGGGGGCAGAGGTTTAGATAATTGACTGAAATTTTCATAACAATGTCCTAACTGGAATCAGTTAAACTGTTGTAATTTTTTTTCTCTGTGCTTTCAAATAATCTATTAATAATAAAAAATGAATAGGCGATCAGTGCCATATTCTTAAAAAATGTATGTTGAAAAGGAAACTATCAAACCATATTAGACCTAAACTTGACAATCTCAGAAACTGATTTAGGGCAGTAATGGATGCCCTCTTTATTTCAAATACCTTATTTGGAATTAATTGCACCTCTTCTTCATTTACAAAAAACATAATGAGCTAGATTCTGAATCGTGGCTCACAGAAGATAAATTTGTTATTTTCCTTCTGTCTGCTTCATGCTAGAGGCTTTGCCAAATGCCTGTATGCTTGAGAAATTCATAGGAGAAAGCTGCAACCTATCTGGGCCCTCTTATGCCACCAAATTTCTGTCTGTATTGATATTACCCCTCCCCACAAATTCTTCCAGTGCAGGCAAGGTTGTAATGTATACAACTATGAGGCTCTTGAAAGTCAAATGGTTTAGCCTGGGTTTAAAAATGGATATTGGAATTACAACATTGGATCAGTGAGATTTTCCAGTAAATTAATGTCCTGTCCCGAAAAGTGGCCAGCATACCCTGCATCACAGGTGGATGCAGCTATAGAATGTAGCTGTGGAATAACATGTTGGTAGGAATGTGTTGTTTAAAACCCAGTCCAGTAAAGGATGGCCTATATTCTGAAGCAAGCCATTAAAAATAAACAAACAGTGATAGTATAATTGTGAATGTTCTTATCTTTACAAATATCCACTTTTTTTTCTTTTTCTATTGCATTGGGTTTGTGGCAAGCAGTTCCACAAGCTAAGCTTGCATTGTGTCAGACTCTCTGGAACACTTCCAAGAGTCTCTGGGAAAGAAGTTATTTATAAAGGATTTTTTTTCCAAGACAAGAAATGGGCTAATATGGCACCAACCTTATTAAAATAATTCTTTTAAAACTGATTAGCCTTTTCCTTTTTTGTCTGTGCCTGTGTAGTGCCTGGCATAATGGAGTCCTGATCTATAATTGGAGCTCCTAAGCCTTATTACAATACAAATGATAACAATCAGCCCTATCCTGTTAACTTTTTATTTGATTCCAAAAAGCATGTCAAGGAGAATAATAACCTACTATTTACATTGCAGCATTTCAAAGGGACTGCCCTTCTTTAATAATGCCATACAACATGAAAGTGAAACCATTAATGTTGAAGCAGGAGCCTTGATGCTCTTGCTACTTTTAAGGTAAGGTAGACTGCAGAGGAAGCAGTCTGCAGGTGTGGCAGGAGGCAATCAGGAGTGACATGACCCAAAAAGGGTCATGGCTTGCAGGATATAACACAGGGCTTGAGCATGGCAGCCAGTTTAGCTTTGGGGTCATGGAGAGAAGAGCTCTTGAGCAGGCTGCATGAGGACTCTGATAGCACCCGAACTGCCTGGGTAAGACACCTTAAGGGCTGGGGAAGAAGACAGCATTAGGGCTGGGGACTGGTGCTTTAGGGATTGAAACTGTAGGGGCAGTAGAGGTTTCAACTGGCCCAGGGGTGGTGATTCTCAACCAGGGTGCTATTGTGTTAGCTCTGTTTGGTGTGCAGACTTAATTCACAAGCTAAACCTAGACATTTCAAATGGGAACCCATCGTGTTAAAAACAATCTAACCTGCTCTGGTCTTTCTGAGTTCTTTGCAATGGAAAAGTTGCTCTATTCTTTTTTCATAGTCAAAATAAGAATGAAAACTAAGAGCTGACAATTTTCGAGGGTGCCTTGAGTCTAACAATGTTGAGAATCACTGCAGTAGAGGGAATATACTGAAAACTAAATCTAATCTTATGATTTGGCTGTTTAAGTGTCCCTAGAGTGTTCAGAGTAAATTGGAATTTGTTTTCATTCTGGGGTATTCTATTATTCTGTGTATGTGCAGAGTGTGTCAGTTCATTCTACTATCAGGAAAAGAATTCAGCCTGAGAAAGGTCATTGGCCAAGGTCATCTGGCTGAGAATACACAGATTAATGATCCTTCTGGGATCAATACTTCCTTTGATAGTTAGGAATTAGTTGGTAGTGTTTCTAAAAGTGACTTCTCTTTTTTAAAGAAGAAAATTACCGTCATCAGATAATGACTAGGAGAGAGATTCTGTACAGTAGCTGCTTTGCTATCTTGGGCACTGGCATTTTGCAGCTGAGACATCACTTTTCCTTGGCACTATGCCAGGTTTCTTAACTACATGACCAGCTGGGCAGCCTTTCTTGTGATATGTTACAGTAGACTGTACTTTGATGTTGCAAAGATAGTATTTCAGTGTTCCTGAATATAGACCTGACTTAATTCTGGAGCTCATCCACTGACCTTATAACTTGAGGGTAAGAATTTTTTCCACTGCCTGGCTGAAGCTGCAAAGATTTTAGGCTGATTGCAGTACTGTATTCCTTTTGCACTGAGATTCTGCCCAATGGCTATTTTATTGATTTCTTCCTCTTTATGGGTGAATCATGTTTTCATTGCATTAGATGGGATTAGATAAATTCAGAGTTTTCCTAAGCTATTTACTTGAAAGAATTTTTTTTTCTTCTTTTTTTTTTTTTTTTTTTTTAATAGAGTGCTCAGCTGATTGCTCTGGAGATTTTCTCTACATTTAGGCCTACTGGCAAAGAATTAGATTCTCTTCACTTTCTTTTTGCTTTATGAAGTAAAGTGCATTTTAAAGTAGTAAGTCACATAACTGTGTTCACCTCAGCATGTTGTGAAAACAGCATCATATTCCTCCAGGTTTTGTCAATTCTGCTGGACTGTCTTCTTTCTGAACAGAAAGATCTAGCTTTGTTTACCTAGGGCACCCCTTGATTTCTGCACTTTTAATTATTTCAAGCACTACATGTTTTCTGTGCACTGAGATGAAGTTGTCTCAGTCTTCAACAAGGCCAGCCCCTTCTGTCATTCCACAGCCACAAGGTAAAATGAATATAGTTCTGCTATCATCTATGGAAAGGTGCAGAGAAAATGGACACCAAATGGACCTGGTAAGATGGTTACCTTTTAAGGCCATTGGCAGTGTTGTGTAACACATTGGGTGTCAGTGAAGCACAGACCACTGTTAATCTTGTTCTTGTGTCACAGGGTGGTAAAAAATAAATTAAAATGTTAGCCAGGGATGATATGGAGCTATTTTATATTACTTAACATCTTGGAATCATAGAACTGTAGAAAATTAGGGTTGGAAGGGACTTGAGAAGGTCATCTAGTCCAACCCCTGATCAAAGCAGGAGGATCTCCAACTATATCATCACAGCCAAGGTTGTGTCTAGCCAGGTCTTAAAAACCTTCAAGGATGGAGATTGCACCATCTCTCTGGGTAGCCCATTCCAGTGCTTCACTACTTCCCAAGTGAGAGACATTTTCCTAATATCTAATCTAAAATTCCCTTGCTACAACTTGAGACCGTTGTTTCTTGTTCTTCATCTGCCTCCGCTGAGAACAGTCTAGCTTCATCCTATTTGTAATCATCCTTCAAGTATTTGAAGGCTGCAATTAAATCCACCCTCAGTCTTCTGTTTCCAGACTAAATAAGCCGAGTTCCCACAGCCTATCCTCATAAGTTACATGCCCCAGCCCCCAACCATTTTTGTTGCCTCCACTGGATTCTTCCCAATTTGTCCACATCCTTTCTGAAGTGGGGGTTGAAAACTGGAGACAGTACTCCAGATGTGGCCTCACCAGTGCTGAATAGAGGGGAATAATCACGTCTCCTGATATGTGTGCGGGCCGGGAGCGACCCGAGCCCTTTTCCGTGCTGCATGCAGGCTGTGGCCAGCAGCCCGGGCACGCCGGGTTGGAGAGGGAAGGCCGTCGAGCTGGAATTAGGCACAAATGCGTAGCGGTAGTTTTAAAGATTGTTTACTTACACCGAGATGGCAGTGGTGTAGGCTGGAAAACTTGCTTGAGTTGCGGTTACAGACACAGACAACACAGACGGTCTCGTGGAGGTTGCTAGGCTCCACGGAACAGAGCTCCGGATGCTCTGGGTGAACGAGCCACCAAAATCAGAATCATAGGTACGTCTTATAAAAGTCGCGCTTGAAGACGGGAAGAGGTGGGCGGTGGATCAGGCCGCCAGGCTCCTCTGTATCTCACACAGGGTTTCTATTACCCTGCCATGTACCCAGAGTCCCCACGAGATGGATGTGGAGTCCTCTTCAGCTTGGGCGGAAACCGCTCAAGCCTCTTATACGGCTAACAGGCCAATCGCTAGCCGCCACGTGTGAATAATTTAGAACTAGCCAATAGCGGGGAACGAATTTGCATACCGGTGGCGGGAACTCTTTTGCACCGTGCATTCCTCTTGCAACATGAGCAATGCACTCTGCAAAAGAAGCTGCAGAAAAGGCGGGAAACTCGTCCCTGCACTGAGAGTTTCCTCTGCAACAGGAAACTCTCCCGTGCAATGAAGCTGCAACTTGGCGGGGATAATTCTGGTGCCGAAGCACACACAAAATCATGCCTTTGGGTCATGACAATATGCTGGCAAAGCTTTTACTAATGCAGCCCAGTATGCTGTTAGCCTTCTTTGCAACAAGGGCACACTGTTGGCTCATATTCAGTTTATTGTCTACTGTAACCCCAGGTCCTTTTCTGCAGAGCTGCTGCTTAGCCAGTCAGTCTCCAGCCTGTACCAGTGCATGGGATTGTTCTGTCCGAAGGACTTTCCACGTGTCCTTACTGAACCTCATGAGACTTCTTTGATCCAATCCTCCAATTTGTTTAGGTCACTCTGAATCCTAGCCTTATTCTCCAGCGTGTCTACTCCACCCCAGTGTGGTGTCATCCATAAATATGCTGAGGGTGCACTCCATCCCATCTTCCAGATTATTGATGAAGATTTTGAATAAAACTGGCCCCAGGACCAACCCCTTGGGCATTCCACTTACTGGCTGCCAACTAGACATTGAGCCATTGATTATACTACCCTTTGAGCCAGATGATCCAGTCAGTTTTCTGTGCACCTTGCAGTCCATTCATCCAACTTGTACTTAGCTTGTTTGCAAGGATGGTGTGGGAGACTGTATCAAAAGCTTTGCTAAAGTCAAGGTGCATCACGTCTGCTGTTCTCCCCACATTCTCAGATCTAGTCATCTTGTCGTAGAAGGCAATCAGGTTGGTCAGGCATGACTTGCCCTTGGTGAATTCATTCTAACTGTTCCTAATCACCTTCTCCTTTTAAAAGTACACTAAGCTGTCTGCAATTGGCAGCTGATATCAAGCTGAGTGCCCCAGGGGGTTGATCCTGGGGCCAATTTTGTTCAATATCTTCATCAACGACATGGAAGATGGAATGGAGTGCACCTTCACCAAGTTTGCAGATGACACTAAACTAGGGGGAGTTGTAGCTGTGTATCTTCTCCAAGTGCTTAAACACATCTTGCTAATGCTATTGAAGGCAGGGTTTTTCTACATCGTAAAAATGAAAGGGTTTCCTTTTTTTAATGATTTTTTAAAAAATAAATGCTGCCCATTCCAACCTAGGACATCTTCTGAACAAACTGCTTTATGCGCTGGTTGCTAGTTTTGTGATGAGTACATATGTCTCCCGGTCACTGGGTCAGGAGTTATGCTAGTGATTTAAATCAGAATTGAATAAGAGAATTTAGAACCCGTACTTCTAAGAATGCAGTTGGGAAGATCCCCATCTATACAGTTAGATACAGCTTTCAGTAGTGTGCAGTGCTGGAGCTGACTGCAATACTTTGTCACAGCATTGGTTTATATGGATATATGCCAGGGGGTAAGGCGTCACATGCACAAGTCTTGTTAACAACAAACAACATAGCAACTCCCCATGCTCTGCTTTGAAAAATGCATTGTCCTTAGAGTATTATTTATTGAGTCCCTGGCCAAGCAATCTATGCAACATTGCAGTGAAAGTGCCAGAATGTGATAATAAAGCTCTGTTAGTGGTGCTGATGTTGTGACTATTTTCTAGCATGAATGTAGGCAACAGAAAGATGGCATTTTTGCCAGATTTTTCTCTCTCCAGCTGCTTCTGCTTGCTTTATGCACTGATGACTATATAGTAAAGCAGTTGCTACTGTGGTAGATCAGTGAAGCGTACAATTCTAACACATGCAATTCAGTGTACCGTAGTTACTCGATTCTAAGATGACCTTGAATTTAAGATGACCCCCCCCAATAATTAGATTCTAGATGTGGAAAATTCTAAATTTTGTTTTAAGTTTTCTTGTCTAGAATCTAATTATTGAGGGGTTGTCTTAATTTTTTCGCAAGCGCTCCTGCAGCAAGAAAACTGCAGCAGGGGGGCAGGCAATGGGAAAAGTAGAAATGATAGGACAGGTGGAGGGGAAGCAGAAGTAGGGGAAAGCAGGGGCAAGGAGTAGGAGTCAGGGAAAGCACGAACAAGTGGGGGAAAGCTGAGGAAAGGGAAAAGCAGGGGTGGGGGAGCAGGCATCCTGTCCCTCATCCCTTTGCCTCTCTGGTCACTACCACCCTGCCATTACCTCCTCCTCATCCTGCTTTCTGAACTATCTGGGCACTGGTGGCAGTTGTGCTGGGAGTCTGGCTTGGCACCTCATAGATTTCTCCTTCCCTGCCCTGCTCCCTTTCCCTCTGCCCCTTCTGTTGGGAGACAGGGGAAGGAGTGGGGAGAGAGAGCAGGAAAGGGAAGCAGAAATCTGTGGGGTATCAACAGCACCATACCTAGACTCCCTGCGGCCCTGGGTGAACTTTTAGTATCTGTCTCCCCCTTCCCCTGAGATAATGATAATAAGTCGGACAACAGAAAAAAAAATTACTATTTTCAGGCTCCCTTTCTGTCTGGGCCCTGGGTGGCTGCCCAGTTCATCCATGCCTGTGTCTGGCCCTGGGTATCAAGCTGGGCTCCCAGCACAGCTGCTTCATGCAGTGTGGGGCAGGCTGGAGATCAAAGCAGCAGCATGCAGACTCCTCCTTCCCTGTCTGGCTTTCTGCCAGCAAGGGAGGGGAAGGGAGTGGGGAGGGAATCTAGGAAGGGAGCAGAGCTGCTGCTGCACATTGCTGTGCCATACCTGTCACAGCTGGGGTCCCTGCACAGCTACTTCTCTTACCTTCCAGTTGTGACACTTCATTCTAAGATGAGGTTTTGTTTTCCTCATGATGAACAAGGAGAAAAACCTCATTGTATAATCAAGTAAATATGGTAAATTGAATTTTGTTCTATTTGTGGGATTCATTTAGGATGGTGGTTGTAAGGTCATGGAATGAAGTGCATCAGCACCTTCTGATAATTCTGCAGTTGTACTCATTAAGCAGTATGTTTCAGACACACATAGAGTTAAGTCTACAGCAAACAACAAAACTAATGCGACAGAGCTTTTGAGTGCCAAACTACTTAAATCAGGCACTGTATAATTTTTTCCCTATAAGTACCTCCTATTGAAGTCTGTTCAGGTGTGGACTTATCTGCACTCATCCCCATCCCCTGGATCCAATGGTGTTTTCTAGAGCTGGTATGCGTAGCAGGGAGAGATTATATTAAGTTCTGCAAAGCTTACATTTTGTTAAAAAAAAAATGTGTTTAATTACAGATACCTAGTAGATGAAATTAAGAAGAGAGAAGGATTTCGGCTTCTGTTGGAGGTATGTGAAAATAGAATTCAGAGTTTTTGTTTTTGGCATATTTTTGTGGAGTGCTAATTTGGTATTTTGGGTGAGTATTTCAATAAACCTTTTAAATAGCTGGCATATGGAAATATTAAAATTATTATCTCCAGGCAATATTCCACATCATTCATTCATCTATTTCCCCACATATAGCCCTGTCTTACTCTCACCACCTGTGGGCATGTGTAAACAAAATGGGGGCCCTAAATTGAAGCGGTGGCTTTAAAAAAAACACTACTTCAATTTAGGGCTGATTAAACCCCCGTGTTGTGCACACACCCTGCTGACTTACCTGCCTCTCCAGTGGGGACAGGAGGGCGAGCTGCCAGTGGGTGAAGTGGTCCCTGGCCTGCGGGGGGTAGGGAGTGGGGAAGGGGCTGGGGCTTCCCCCACGGCAGCGGCGGTTCCCCCTCCTCTAGCCGCGGCGTTCCCCCCTCCTCTAGGTGGCCCCTGCCTGTAGGCACCTGGCTTGGATGGCCCCGGGGGGCACCGCAGCTGCGGAGGGAAGCACTGGGCCCCCACACAGCTCAGGCAGGCAGGCAGGCTGTGGTGGGGGGGAAGATCAATCTCACCCCTTTTCGTGGGAGGAGCCTGCTTTCCCGGGCTGCTGTCAGGCTGCCTGCAGGGCTTCCTACAGAGTTCAGAGCTGCAGAGAGCCCAGTGCTTCACTCTGCAGCTGTAGGGGCAGCAAACTAAAACTCCTTGAAGGAGTTTTAGTTTGCTGCCCCCCAATTCATTTAAGGCGCATTACACTGCCGAATTTCCTACAGCGGCTGGAATTAATGCACGATACTCTGCCAATGCGTGCAAACACCGACACCATAAATTGATGCAAAAGCATTTAGCCCACTTTAAAGTGTTGTGCACACATGCCTCTCATTTCATCTTCATACAGCCCGTGTCAGCAATGCTCTAAAATCGCAATGGGAAAGAGGACAGAGGTTCATAGATTTCATAGAAATTAGGGCTGGAAGGGACCTCGGAAGATCATCGAGTCCAGCCCCCTGCCCAAAGGGCAGGAAGTCAGCTGGGGTCATAGGATCCCAGCAAGATAAGCATCCAGTTTGCTCTTGAAGGTGTTCAATGTAGGCGCTTGAACCACCTCCGATGGCAGGCTGTTCCAGACCTTGGGGGCTCGGACAGTAAAGAAATTCTTCCTTATGTCCAGCCTGAAACGGTCTTGTAGTAGTTTATGGCCGTTTGACCTAGTCGTCATCCCTTGGGGCGCTCTGGTGAACAAACGTTCCCCCAGATACTGGTGGTCACCCCTGATAAACTTATAGGTGGCCATCAGATCACCCCTGAGCCTGCGCTTTTCCAGGCTAAAGAGCCCCATGGCTCTCAGCCTGTCATAGATTCATAGATGTTAGGGTCAGAAGGGACCTCAATAGATCATCGAGTCCGACCCCCAAATCGTAGGGGTCATCGTAGGGTCTGCTTCCCTGACCTCTGATCATGCGCGTGGCTCTTCTCTGGACTCTCTCAAGCTTCTCCACATCCGTTTTGAATTGTGGAGCCCAAAACTGGACACAGTACTCCAGCTGCGGCCTCACTAAGGCCGAGTACAAGGGGAGAATGA